ATATTTTTAATACATTATAAAATTTACAATTGGGTCACTCAAATATACTTTAAAAATGTGTTTTAATATAATTAAAATTACGTTTTCTTATAAAAATACATTATAAAATTATTTAAAATTACATTTATTTATAAAATTATTTGAATTTTCAGGCCGGTCCATAGTCGGTCCCATAACCGGTCCCGGGCCAGGCCGGACCGATTTGGCCATCTCTACTCTTGAAAACTAAATAGATGGGCTGAATTGGTTAGGCCCAATAATTAAAATAGCCCATAGGTCGATCCAAATGGTGTAGTATTTATTTACTTTCAATTTTTCAGAAGTTCCTATCAATTATAATATTTTCAAGTTTTTGTAAAATATTCTTCAAGTGAATGCATTATCTAAAAGGTATTTGAATGCTACATTTTAAAAAGCCAGTTAATAAAAACTTAATAATATTTTATATACAATACACACACATATATAGACGGGTTAAATTACAAAATCGTCTAATTCATGAAAACTATGCAAACCATCTTCGACGAATAAGAAAATTCCGTTTTTTTCTTTAATTTTAATAAGTAAAGGTATAATAGTCATTTGCTTGTATATTGATTAATATTTGAAGGTAATAATTACTCTTAATTATGGAAACGTAATAATAAAAACATTTAATATAGAAGGTGGTAAATCAATTATTCTTAATATAAATCATTTACCATTAATAGTTTTTATTATTATTTTTTTTTAAAGACAAAAAAGGAAGGACAAGAAAGAGAGGTTCGACATGACCATCACCCTCACCAAGCCAACCAATATATTAAACAACAGATCCAACAAGAAGCTAGACACAAAAAGATACAAAAATCCACCACAACAAGCGAGAACAAAAAGAATCAAAACCGAAACATCCCCAGACAAAGGCCAAGGCAAAACCCAAACCAAAGACAGGCTAAGAGACTAAACAAGGAAAGGAGAAGAAGACCAACTATCTCAATTAAGATGGAACTTACGATTCCTGTTCCCCATCCAAAGCTTGGATGAATTTTGAACACAAGGGAATGGGTCTTCACCTTTCTTCTTAATTTACGCACCATCCTCAGCATGAAAAATTTCATTCCGCCACTTCCAAAGTTGCCAAAGTGTCACAGCGCAAACTGATAAGAAAGTCACTCCAACCTTGCGATGAGTGCCTACTTGTTTGATCAGCATTATAAAATCAGACACCGATGATAGACGCGGGGCTTTAAGATCCCACCAAGCCCATATTTTCCTCCATAGAATGCTTGCTACCGAACAAGAAAAGAAACAATGGTCCATTGTTTCAACACCTTTGCCACATAGGATGCACTCCAAAAATTGTAACGGAATTCCTCTTTTTGAAAGATTGAATCTTACAGAATAGCCTCCTTAAGAAAGCGTCAAGTGAAAATGTTTACCTTCTTTGGAATTAAAGGACTCCAAAAACACGGTTCATTGCGTCCAACATTTGTATCAACCGCCATTTGAATTAATTTTGACAAGAAGTTGAGCGAGAAAATCCCTTTCTTGTTCCAATTCCAAGACCACATACCCTCACCTGAAGTATTGAAAGCCACTTGAGAGAGTTGCCTTTCTAAGGCTTGAAGATCATCTAAGCTTCTACCCCTAATCGTTGTTTTCCAATCCCAAGCACCACTCCAAGAACCATTAATATAAGTCCATCTTTCTTTGAAAGAAGCATTTTTATTCCTTTCCATGGCATAAAGTCTAGGAAATAGGTCTTTCAGCTTTGAGCCTTGACCGATGCTCGCATCTTTCCAAAAAAGAGAGAAAGAATCTTTAGCAACCTTTTTCGTAAACGAGTGGATAACATTCTGACCTGCAACTTCCACATTCTTGCAAGTGTTGACAATAGAAACCCATAAGCTTTTTCCAACCAAAGGCCTATTTGAAAAAAGACCACCATCCTCACCATAAAATTCAGAAATGACATCCTTCCATATCGCATTAGAACTAGACAGGAACCTCCAGACCCATTTTGCTAACAAAGCGTCATTTTTAGCTTTTAAACTAACGATACCCAAACCACCATTTGACTTAGAGCTCAAAATTTTCTCCCAAGCAACCCAATGTAATTTTTTTTTCATCTTCCTTAAATCCCCAAAAAAATCTTCTCCTTACAGATTCCAAAGTTTTTAAAAATGAGTTGGGCGCTTTGAAAAGAGAAAAGTAGAACAGCGGAAGAGAAGATAGCACCGACTGGATCAAAGTAAATCTTCTGCCTATGAAATATGAATTGTAAAAGCACTACAATATGAAATCTGATTTATTTTCATTGAAAAAATATATGTAGTTTGAGTAATGAAACGAAGGTCATGTTCAATAGTGACCATGAACACAACTTCACTGATGAATTTAATTTATTAATATTTTGGAATGTTTTATGCATGAAAAGTTTTATTAAATTATATTCCTAAAATACGAATTGTAAAAGGAGTACAATATGAAATCTAATTTCGTTTCATTGACCAAATATATGTAGTTTGAGTAATGAAACGAATGTCATGTTCAATAGTGACCATGAACACAATTTCACTGATTAATTTAATTTGTTAATATTTCGAAACGTTTTATGCATGAAAAAGTTTCACTTACAAAAATAAAGTATTCAGTTTTCAAAATGTTTAATTCAATTTTCAAAAATGTTTCATTCTTTATATGTTTCATCGTTTATTAGGGTATCTCTTGTTTTAAAATTAGTTTGATTAGAAATTATTAAGAGTCCAATCCTACACATATAGCCGTTAATGAAATAGTTTCATATATCGTTCACTACTACATGTCAAATGGTTCATCTTTCATTGTAGGTGACAAGAAGTCACGTGAGTACATTCAATAAACGGTGAAACAGTTACATTCATTCGTTTAATGAAAAAAATATTTACTTTAGTATTCAAAATGTATTATTATTTTTTATTGAATAAAGTATGTTTTTATGTTTCATAATTTATTAGAATGTACCTAGTTTCATTGCTCCTTACTTAAATCTATTTTTAATATGGATGTTATTTTATTTATGGAACCATATGGGTGGTTTGTCAAATTTGCCCTTTTTTCAATAATTTTTAATTTTTTTACTTTCTTAATATAACACATTTTAATCATGACCCTTGATCAAGAAAATAGATGGATGAGATCAGTTAGTATAGTTTGCACAAAAGAGGGTGGTTTGCAATTGATCGCTCATCTTTCTCTCTCTCTCTCTCTCTCTATATATATATATATATATATAGGTGGAGGTTCAAACGAGAACCCCTGTGATTTACGAGAACGCGAAAACAACCTAATAACTTAAAACTTTTTTTAATTAATAAACTAAGTTATATTAAATATAAATAAATTAATAAGGACAGTAATGTAATTAAGTAATTTTTATAATTTTTATTTTATTTTAATTAGTCATAATTATCCCTTTTTTTCCTGCACGTTCGTTTCCACTCTCTTCTCCCCCCTTGTGATAATTGTGTGATTGTGTAACTATAACCTATCGAAACCATGATCAATCAAGTGTAACCATAACCTATCGAAACCATGAGTAATCGTTGTGATAAATGTGTGATTGTCTAATCCTAATTACCGATCGAAACCATGATCAAATCGAGTACGCTGATATGATAGTGACATCACATGACTATCACACCCATATCACACCAAATCGGTAGTCGATTTTCTAAGTTAACCATAGCCGAACGGATTCCTTGTGATAATTGTGTGATAATCACATGATTATCACACCCATATCACACCAAATCGTGTKGATATAAGCGATARTGTGATAATTGTGTGATAATCACATGATTATCACACCCATATCACACCAAATCGTGTTGATATATGTGATAATTGTATGATAATCACATGATTATCACACCTAGTCTAATCCTAACCTATTGAAACCATCTGAAATCGTTGTGATAATGTCTAACATAACCCATTGAAACCATGATCAAGTCGAATGACATTGATATCACATGATTATCACAACTAATCGATTAAAAACATGTTCAAAACGAGTAATTGTGAAAGATACCTTGAATAAACTCTTCTTGTTGTTCGATTGTTGCATGCAATAGCTTCTCTTTGATCGATTAGGGTTCTTGATCGATTAGGGTTCGATTGTTGCATGCAATAGCTTCTCTTTTATGATATCATTTCCATTATTTCCCTTTTAAACTTTAATATTTTTTGAATTTTTTTAAATTTCAATTTTAATTTTAAAAATCTTTTAATTTTATTTTTTATCACAATATGAGGTTATTGGATTGTTCTCGTAAATCACAAGGGTTTTCGTTTGAACCTTTCCAGATATATATATATATATATATGTGTGTGTGTGTATGTATATGTATGTGTAATATTAAGAACGGATTAGGCTTAAGATGGATTTTGGACCGGGACCAATTAGCGGGCCTAGGCTAGCTCTCCATTTTTGGTTGGACGGTGATTTGTAGGAGTCGTCTATTTGGGATAGAACCCGGTTTAAAACAATCCCGGCCCGAAAACATGTTCAAACTTCAAACTAGTTTGCAATTTGCATACATCTTCGGCTAATCCAATAGAATACATCTTCAAACAGTACGGAAAATTTGTACTGACGGCTCAAACCGGTTTAATGTTTTTGTTGTGTATTGACCGAGCGATCTTTGAATAAAAAAAGATTAAACACGTTTATTTTATAGTAAAAAAAATTAAACACGTTTGAATTAAACAAATTCCAATACATACGTAGCTTTTTCACAATAATCATGGTCTGTGAGTGGAGTCCAACTAACTTTTGACGAATCGGCGACCGCCATGTGTAAAGTCTCTGACGGCAGAAAGTCAAAAAACTTTAGTCCCATGAATTTTCTTCCCCTCCGACCATCATTTTTCCAACGCCCACCGCCACCGTCCACCACTTTCCGGCTGACAGCACGCTCTCCTCCACCCCCTCCCCCCTATATATATACATACATATTCCATATATCTATATACCCATTCACTACATTCAGATACATACAAACACACACTTGGTTGTTTAAACGAGAATCTTTACAAATGGCAACTGCTTCATCTACTATTCTTAAATCCAACAATTCCATCGTGAAGGCATTGCCCACCGCCACCTCCGCCATCGCCGCGGCTCCTGACAGTCTGTCTTTCAAGAACTCCACCACCCCGTTACCGTTTAAGAAACTTTCTACCACCGCTGCCTCCGGCAGATGCAGATCGTTTACCGTCAAGAGCCAGATTAACCCATCGGAATCTTCAAGACCCAGTAACTACAGATCTTTAATTTGTTAAATTTTCAATAATTTATTACAAAAGTTTATGGCTTTTTGATATTGATTGATACTGTGTTTTCAGCGAAAGTGCATGAACTGTGTGTGTATGAGATTAACGAAAGGGACCGGGGAAGTCCGGCGTATCTCCGGTTGGGCCAAAAACCGGTCAATTCGCTTGGTGATCTTGTTCCGTTCACCAACAAAGTAAATTTATTTGATTTATTGGTTTTTTTTTTTCTGTTTTAAATCCATTGGGATTTTTTATTTATGGAGAAAAAATTTGTCCAAAAATACAGGTTTACAGTGCAGATCTTCAGACAAGATTAGGAATCACCGCCGGAATATGTATTCTGATCAAGAACATGCCGGAGAAGAAAGGTGACAGGTACGAAGCCATTTACTCGTTTCACTTGGGTGATTACGGCCAGATATCTGTTCAAGGAGCTTATCTGACGATGGAGGATACCTACCTTTCGGTTACCGGCGGGACGGGGATATTCGCCGGAGCGTACGGTCAAGTGAAGCTGCAGCAGCTGGTTTTTCCGTTCAAATTGTTCTACACATTTTACTTGCAGGGTTTAGCAGGTGATCTGCCAGCGGAATTGCTTGTAACCCCCGTGACTCCGTCACCGGCGGTGGAGGCGTCGGCTGCGGCCAAGGCCACCGAGAAGGGGGCCACCTGTCCTAACTTTACAGATTAAATAATGATGGTGGAGTAGCCACCTTTTCTTTTCTTTCATTTTGTTGGAGGCACTCAAGTTCCAGCATTCTCACCTCCACCTTTTGAGGAATAAAGTATCATTTATTAGGGATGTTGTTGGATTATTATAAGCGTACAATAGAAAATTAAAAAGCTGTCCAACACTTTGATAACATTTATCTGGACGGTATAAACAAATACATACAGGTAATTTGTATGTTATTTGTTTAGTATATATATGTACACTTGCATTAAAAAAAATAAACTTGAATTACTTGTATGCATATGTACATACCATCCAAATAAATGATTATTGGAGTATTTTTATGTTTTCCATTTTTTTGGTTTATATATATAATGCCAAACAAATGCAACCTATTCAAATGTTGCAACCAATGCAATCCAATGAAATTTAATTATAACCGTAGATCATCTCCTTTTTAAGGAGTAATTTCGTTTTTAAAATTTTAAAATGTAATCGCCTTATCCCAAAATCGCAACCGTCTTATCCCCAACCATTGATTGTTTAATTGTGTGTTGTAGATGAAGTTGCATTGATTGTAACTTTTAAGAGGGTTGCATTTGAAGATCCCTCTATATATAGAGTCAGATTCAGAGGTAAACCGTAACTAAATGAAAAATTGAGGAACACCCTGATAAACGTTTATTTGGACGGTATGCACTTGTGCGTACATTAATTTGTAAGCAATTTATTAGATATGCACATGTGCGCATAAAAACCAAGAAACAACTTCAATTACTTGTATGCACATGTTATCCAGATGAATGATTATCGGGATGTTTCTTAGTTTTTCATTTTTGTAAGGTTTTCTCACTGAACTTTCCTATATATAAATATATAGACGATGGATTGTGTGAGAATATGTAAAAAAGGATCTAAGCGCTTAATCGTTTTTAATCTCATCCCACCTCATGAATTGTGAGTCTTGTGGGAATTGATTCGGTGCATCTCGGTGCATTTCATTACTAGTGATCTTCAATTAGGATCCAGTGGTGGAGATCCATTTTTACCTTCTCACTACAACTTTCATTTTCACCAGAACTCAACATATATATGGGGCTTTAATCATTTGAGAACTCTAAAATTTGTGAGATCCGTGAAAACTTCTACCTTAAAGCTTTGTTTAACATGAGTTTTCCCATCTACATATAGTATTTAGTATACTGATTAGCGTGCACACACACACACACACACACACACATATATATATATATATATATTTCACAATGTGTTTGTTCGTATGTATTTGGTACACAATTAAGAAAAAATTACATGCATTTTTGTCACAAACATGCCGAAAAGGTTCACATTGTGATCCGAGTACATGTGAAACAAACAGATCGTAGAATAAATATATGTTAATCAATATTCTCAAGGTAATCACAATTTCATAAGTTCTAAAAAAGAACCCTATATAGTCTCAATCAAATATAAACCACGGAAGGGTTAAAAACCATGTAAATCAGTCTCAACCGTCCGTCTAGTCTAGCAAATATTTGGTTCTATAAATATATCGACTGTTTCCTAATTTAAAATATTGTTCATTGTTAAAATGTTGTTATATTCTACAATCTTGACTTTATGTCTAACTTGTCTTCTGTCCTTATTTGTTATAATATTAACATATTTGGGTAGATAAT